ACAACAAAAGAGCAAATAACCCAATCAACAAATGGGCCAAGGGCTTGAACAGAAACTTCTCAGAAGAGGATATACAATCAATCAACAAATACATGAAAAAATGCTCACCATATCTAGCAATCAGAAAAAGCAAATTAAAACTATTCTAAGATACCATCTAACTCCAATAAGAATGGCAGCCATTATGAAGTCAAACAACATTATAAGTGCTGGCGAGGATGGGGGAGGGAGGTACACTCATACATTGCTGTTGGGACTGCAAATTGGTACAGCCAATTTGGAAGGCAGTATGCAGATTCCTTGGAAAGCTGGGAATGGAACCACCATTTGACCCAGCTATTCCCCTTCTCGGACTATACCCAAAAGACCTAAAAAGAGCATACTACAGGGACACAGCCACATCAATGTCTATAGCAGCACAATTCACAATAGCTAGAATGTGGAACCAACCTAGATGCCCTTTAATAGATGAATGGATTAAAAAATGTGGCATTTATACACAATGAAATATTATTCAGCCCTAAAAAATAACAAGATCATGGCATTTGCAGGCAAATGGATGGCATTAGAGCAGATTATGCTAAGTGAAATTAGCCAATCCCTACAAAACAAATGCCGAATGTCTTCTCTGATATAAGGGGGGTGACTCAAATGGGATAGGGAGGAAAAGCACTAAATAAGGAAGAGAGGTGGGAGGGAAAAAGAGGGAGAAAGGGAGTTACACGGAAGATGGAAGGAGAACCCCATTGTTACAGAATACATATATGATGTTGTAATAAGAAAAAAAAAGTGTGTCACATTAGATTGGATAGAGAGAAAGGACAGGAGAGGAGGGAAGGAGTAGGGGGGACAGGAAGGGCAGCAGAATAGAATAGACAACATGACTGATGTATGTACATTCCATGTATATTATATGTCAAAATGCATTCTGCTGTCATGTATGACTAAAAAAAAATAAAATAAAAAATTTTTAAAAAGTATTAGAGTTAATATTATTGTAATAACTCGTGCCTCTGCAAAATATTAGAATTAAAGTTACCTGGGATGGTTGAGGAAAAAAAAAAAAAGGCTGTGAATGTAGTTCAGAGGTAGACAGACCCTGGGTTCCATCCCCAACACTGAAAAAACAAAACAAAAACTAAAACATCTCCTTAGCTAGAGCGCGGCCAAGGGTCTGGCGATGAGGAAACCTGTGAGATGCGTGAGGCTCTCGGACAGTTGATGATGAGCACAGAAAACGTCACAGGCTCAGCTGGTCCCACCGTGGGGCGGGAGAGAACCCGCAGGAACGATGCTCAGTGGGTATCATGTCTGAGAGTCTGGTGGAAGAGGTCTTGGAGTCTGCCACCCCATGTCCCTCCACACAGGGAAAAGAAAAGGAGAAGTGACACCAGTATGTATCTAGGAGGCACCCGTCCAACTGAGGCCTCAACCAGCCACCCGCTGGGAGTGGCATCCCCATTTGGTAGGTGTGGAAATCTAGGCTCAGAGAGTTACCCAACTTTTCCAAGGTCACACAGGGCACAAGTGGCACGGTGGGGGTTTGAGCTACGCTGTTAGCTGTGAGCACAGGGAGCAAGCCTGTCCCATTCCCGACACCCAGTGCCACACACAGGGCAGGCGGTCAACACAGGTTGAGTGAATGGCTGTCCAGATATAAAGTTCTAGCACTTCTGGGGGGAACAGAGGGTGAAAGCACACCTTTATGCAGATGTGGAACACGGACCTGAAGGACATGGAGGCCGCACAAAGCAGCCCTGGGAAGGGTCCTCCAGAGGAGGTGGACCCGAAGCTACAGCACGGAGCAGACGGAGCTAAGACGGCTAGCAGATGGACTTGTCTGTCATTCTGCCCTTTGAGAATAAGTCGAGACTCAGCAGCTATCGCTGTCACTAGGCCAAGTCTCCCCAGACAGGGATATAAGCTCTTACCTGAAGGCTCCAAGGCCATGGGAAAATATGATCAAGGGGTATCCAGAGTCCTTCGTCTTAAAGGGGCCGTTCCAGCTAACAGGCAGGCGGCAAGATCCTAGCAGAGACACAGGCTATAGAATCCCTGGTTGCCCAGAGCTGTCACCAGGAGGGCAGCCCAGCATAGGCAGGGGTTCTCTCCCTCTGAGGAACCCGCCAACCACCCCTGAGCATCCCAGGACAATCATCACCTAGCCTATGCTTTCCACTTTTCTTCCCTAGGGAGAGGGAATACAAAAAAATGGGAGTGGGCCTGTAATCCCAGCGGTTCAGGAGGCTGAGGCAGGAGGATTTTGAGTTCAAAGCCAGCCTCAGCAAAAGTGAGGCACTAAGTAACTCAATGAGACCCTGACTCTAAATAAAATACAAAAATAGGGCTGAGGATGTGGCTCAGTGGACAAGTGCCCTTGAGTTCAATCCCTTGTACCCCGTAAAATGGGGAGATATATCAAAGGCCTGGGGTTGGGGGTGTAGTTACATGGTGGAGCACCCACCTGAGCAAGAAAGACCCTGGGCTCAACTACCAAGATGGCAAGAAAACAAAAATATCGGGGCTGGGGATGTGGCTCAAGCGGTAGCGCGCTCGCCTGGCATGTGTGCGGCCCGGGTTCGATCCTCAGCACCACATAACAACAAAGATGTTGTGTCCGCCGAAAATTAAAAAATAAATATTAAAAAAATTCGCTCTCTCTCTTTAAAAAAAAAAAATCATCCATGGGGACAATGCTGAGCAAGTCTTGGCAACCTTGAGATGCCAAGGAGTGGACAGAGGACCTTGGACAATCCTTGGGGGGGAAGTGGATGATTTCGTGTGGCCCTGCCCAGAAGATGGGAGGCCTAGAGGGAGAACTGCAGGAGACCCTGCTCCCCGAGAGCGAAGCTTGGCCAACTTGCAGGATGGCTGGCAGTGAGCACCTGCTGGACAAACAGCCAGACCCACCACCTAGGCAGGCATCCCGCATCCCAAGCACTGCACCAGAGGCTTTGACCCCACACCTCCCACACTGTGACCCCTCAAAGGCAGGTATTCAGACAGATCAGGGAACGTGCCCAAGCCCCACAACTAGTAAATCAGAGAGCCTGGATTCAGAGCCCAGGAGAGCGCTACTCAATGGCCAGGCTCCGCACACCCACCCACTGCAAAAGGGCTGGACTCTGCAAGCTTAAAGGTATTGTGTCTACCTGGGGACAGCCTAGGGACATAACCACGCAGCTGGGAAAGCACAGGGCCAGCCTTACCCATAGCCAGGTTGAACAGCAACCCCACCCAGCGCTTATTCAACCTCAGGTAATCGGCCAGGCCAGCGCAGTACTCAGGGCGGGGGATCCACAGGGGCTGCTCCACAGTTTCCTTTGACTCTTGGCAGGGGTAGAAGAGTCGAAAGAAGCTCCCCTGCAGGAAAGAAGAGAGCAGCTGCTCAGAGCAAGAAGCCCAGGCACCTCTGGGCATCCACACAGGGAACCTTAAGCTTCAATGACACACCTGAATTTTACATTTAGAAAAAAAGGAATTTAGCATACATGAAAAATGTTATTTCAAATAGCTCGTGGTATTCTGAATGACATGGGGGGGGGTGCCAAAATACTTCGAGTGCTTAGGACATAAAAAGATTTAAATCTGGGGCTGCGATTGTAGCTCAGCGGTAGAGTGCTCGCCTAGCACAGGCGGGACCTGGTTCAATCCTCAGCACCACATAAAAATAAAGGCATTGTGTTGTGTCCATCTATACCTAAAAAATAATTAAAAAAAAAAAAAAAAGATTTAAATCTGGTCCTGAGCCCAGGCCTGGAGGAGCCATGGGAGTGGAGATTTGCCCTTGTGCTGAATGAGGCACTAATAATGGGTCACCCAGGCCCATGATTAGTTAGTCCTCTAGGCTAACTCTCAGGACGAACTCATCTTACATAGGAGAAGGTGAGGGATTACTAAAAGTGGGTGCCTCTCACGAGGAAACCAGGAGCCAGCAGAGAAAAACCTAGAAACTGGCCACGTTTGGTGATACCTGCCTATAATCCCAGCCACTTGAGAGGCTGAGGCAGGAGGATCTCGAGTTCAAAGCAACTCAATGAGGCCCTCAGTAACTCAGTGAGGCCTTAAGCAACTCACTGAGACTCTGCCTCAAAATAAAAAGTAAAAAGGGCTGGGGATGTGTCTCAGGGGTAAATCACCCCTGGGCTCAATCCCCGATGCCAAAAAACAAACCAACAAACCTAGAAACTGGTAGAAGGAAAGTCCAGAAGGAGCAGATGGAGGCAGGAGAGATGGGGCCACCAAGTTTGCACCCAGGTTGGGGAGTCAAGGGCAATGGCACGTGGCTCACTCTTCTTCCTCTCACCAACTCCCATAAGGATGAAATGGAAAACCTTTCCGGGTGGGTCAGGCATCTGCTCTCAAGACGGGAGGGAGAAGCTGGGAGCTGCCCCTTGAGCTAGGGCCCCCCCCCGCCCCCTTTCCTCCAGGCTGAAGAAAGAACACTTCATCTAGGTCAAATGGGAAGTGTCTGGTACTTGATAAGAGGAAGACAGCCCTGGGGGCTGATAACCAAATCCAGACCAGAGCTAGCTCAGCTTCCCCACCTGGAACTGTGCACTCTCACCCGTGACCATGAAGACCAAGCAACAGCTCCTCCTCTCAGTGGCCTGAGATGATCTGTGAAAATGGTTCCCTACTCTCTTGACCCTGAAAGCCCCACAAAATCAAGAGGTTCAGATCTTCATGTTCACTTTAAGAAGATTCATGAAACCACAGAGGCCATCAAGGGTACATATCCGAAAAGCCACCAAGCCCGTGCAAGGCGTTACTTTAAAGAAGCGATGTGCGCCATTCCGGAGTTACAATGGTGGAATTGGGAGGAGTGTGCAGGCCAAACAGGGCTGGACACAGGGTCGGTGGCCCAAAAAGAATGCTGAATTTTTGTTGCACCTGCTAAAAAATGCAGAGAGTGACACTGAACTCAAGGATTTAGATGTAGATTCTCGGTCTTTGAACATATCCATGGAACAGAGCACCCAAGGTGCACCGCTGTCCTTACAGACATCTGGATTAACCCACACCTGACCTCCCTGCCCCATCCAGAGGATCCTCACTGAAAAGGAACAAACTATTTCAAACCAGAAGAGAAGGTTGCACAGAAAGTAAAGGTATCCCAGAAAAAACTGAAGAAGCAAAAACTATGGCACAGGAATAAACTCAGATAAAATAAATGCAAAGAAAAGATAAAAAAGGGGCTGGGGGGCTGGGGATGTGGCTCAAGTGGTATCGTGCTCGCCTGGCAAGCGTGCGGCCCGGGTTCCATCCTCAGCACCACATACCAACAAAGATGTTGTGTCCTCCGAAAACTGAAAAATAAATATTAAAAATTAAAAAAAAAGGGGGGCTGGGTTGTGGCTCAGTGGTAGAGTGTTCATCTAGCATGCGCAAGGCACTGGGTTCGATCCTCAGCACCACATAAATGTAAAATAAAGATATGTATCCACCTAAAACTAAAAAATAAATATTAAAAAAAAAAAGACCCAGCACAGACAGAAGCAGGGGAGACGTGTAGGGGAGGAGCTGCAGACACCTACCTGGAGACTCTGACCCTCCATCACATCCCCACAGCCTACAAGGTGGGGTCCTGAGACAGGTGGGAAGCACACCGACTGGCTGGTCCCCATCTCAACGACAACTGATCCTATGACTGGGGCGGTGCTGAACTTGACGGCTGGAGGGTGGAACACAGAACAGCCTCTTGCTGGTTTCCTCTTGGCTTTTTGCTGCTCATGAGTCATGTGCCACTGCAGCTCCGTCCCCTCACCTCCCCATCCTCCCTGCCAGTCACTCATTAAATCATTTGCTAAGGTAGAGGGGCTGCATTTCTTTCTGGGGAGGTGAGGAGATGGTGGTGAAGAGGAGAAAGAACTTCCATCTTCAAACCTGCCAAGAGCTGGGGATGCAGCACTTGCCTGGCGTGCACAGGCCCCGGGTTCCAACCCCAGCACTGTGAAAAGAAAGAAATAAAGTGGGAACTGAAGACTTCCAAAAAGTGTTTACGCAGCACCTACTGTATGCAAGTGCAGGCGTAACTGTGGCAGAGACGGCGACACAGACCTGCCCTCCACAGGCTACCGTAGCAGTCACCCTGTGGGCACTGAGCTACGCTCCTCACATCCATGAGCTCCTTTCATTCTCTCAACAACTCTTGGAGGTGGGCAGTATTGAGATCCACTTTATGGATGAGAAAACTGAGGCTTGAGAGGTTGAATAACTTTCCCAAGTTACCTCACTCAGGAGCACACACAGGTCTGCCAGAGCCAGGCGCGGAGCTCTTAGCCACGACTGACCCTGCTCGTGGGGGACACTCAGACACACACAACACCGCTGACCTAAAATATTAATGCTAGTTTGGTTTGATGGTTGAGGCGAGTAAAGTTCTTTGTTGTTTTGCACTAGTGTGAAATGTAGATGTCACAGGTCACCTGTCCTTGAACTGCTGTAGATACTTTGCCAATGAAGCTACCATGGTGGATAGCATTAGGCAGAACCTGACACAGCAACGCTATTTTGAAATATATCTTAGAATAAGAATCACCTTGTGGTCACTCTGCTTCAGCCTGACCCTAAGCCCCAGACAAGGCTTCATTGTCGTACATAAAAAGGACATGGTTATCTGGGACAGGAACCCTGAAAACACCTGCTTCGACGTGGAATGGTGAGCACCTCACAGAATAGAGGTGGCGTGCTTTGGGTCAATCTCCTAGCAATGGCACAACTGCAAAAATTCCCCCACTCCCTCTTGCCCCTGTGTCTGGCCCAGGCTGAGTAGAAGACAGGTGTCAGTCTCCACCGGGCCCCCTCCGCAGCTTTGTCATGAATAAACCTGTGTCACTGTTGTGCCACCTCGCCCCTCTATTTCTCCATTCACAGATGGCAGAGCTGAGAAAACCACAGGGAAATGAGTCCCCGGATTAGACTATAACTGAAACCTGACCCATTCCTGGACTTTCTGATCACCCGAGTCAATACATTCCCAACAGCGCACACCAGGCCTTGAGTTTGGTCCCCAACACTGCAAAATAAACAACAAAAACTAATAAACCAACATAATTTAGATTCCTCTTGCTTGCAATCAAGAGCAGCTAAAAGCATTCCCCGTTATTAATTACTGTATTACTCTGCTTCCTGCAAGATGCTCTCAGAGGGTTCAGAGAGTTCAAGTCCAAGCACGCCTAGGCAAGAAAAGTCCTCAGAAATTGCTCCTGCCAATCCTCCCAAGATCATTTCCCCATCCCTGGCATGGTACATACATGCACTTTACTGAAGAAGCCAAGATCCTGAGAGATTAAGTGAGCTGCTCAAGGTCACAAGCAGAATCATTATTAAACACACATCTCCTGCTCTCCAACTTCCAACTGCCTGGTCCAATGGACACCCCAAATAATCCTAATATCATTCTATTTAACAATTTTCTTTTCTTTTTTTACAGAGCTAGAGTTGGAACTTGGGGCCTTACACAGGCTAAGCAAGCGCTCTATCACTAAGATAGCTATGCTCTCAGTCTCATTTTATTTGTACCATAGACTTAACTCCATTTTGCTTCTCTGAAGCAAATCTTAAAAGAATCCCACTCTGGCAGGCTGAGATGGGAGGACCACTTGATTCCACAAGTTCAAGGTGAGCCTGGGCAACATTGGAAGACACCATCTTAAAAAATATTGAAAATCAACCCAATTCTCTTTAAAAGGATGCTAAGCTCCTGATGTAATCAGTGGTTGACCAGAGCTTCTTAGCCTCAGGCCCTGACCTTTGCCCTTGTTGTTGATGGACACATAGCACGGTTGGGTCACGAGAAGCATGCCACCCACATGACAGTGAAGCAACTGCCAAGTTCTGTCATAAGAGACAGATAGCAGGGGTTCTGAGGGGACAGAGTGCTCCAGGAGCTTGGGAGCAGGGGGAAACAGGAAAGGCTGATGTTCAAGTAGGAAAAACAGTGGGCAAAGGCAGTGTGCTGAGAATGAGAAACGGGGAGTGGCTAATGATGGACAGAAGGGGAGAGGAGCAAGCTGAAGGGTAGCTAGGCTAAGGAGTGCCACTCTGCTCTGAAATTAGTTGGCAGATGTCCAAGGGCTGCTGCGCAAGAAACCACATTTGAAAGACCTGCTCTTGGGGTGTAGCTCCATTGCGGCCTAGCTTGCTTCCCCTGGACAAATCATCTGACCTCTCGTAAGCCTCATTTCCCATCCTCATAGGGACACTAGGAGATAAAGTGAAATAATGCACTGAAAACACCTGGCATTCTACCTGGTTCTTAGCAAGATTCCAGAAAATATCTGTTGATTGAAAAAACAACAGGTTTTGGAAAAGGCTGGGAGGGTAACTCAGCAGTAGAGCCCTTGGCTAGCACATGTGGGGCCCTGGTTCATCCCCAGCACTGCCCAAGAAAAAATTCTTTATTGCAGGGAGGCTAAGGCAGGAGGATCGCAAATTCCAGGCCAGATTCAGCAACATAGCAAGACAGTGTGCCAAAGTGAAAAAATAAAAAGTGCTGGGGATGTGGCTCTGTCGTAGAGTCCCCTAGATTCAATGCCCAGTATACCACCCTCCTCTCCAAAAGGACTTGGCAACTGTATGGGTTTGGAGAAATCAAGGGAGAAGAGAGAGCCAAAGACAGTCAGATTTCAGGATTCAGTGATCAGTAGCTTCTTATGGGAAGAGATTTTTCGTCTCATCCTACACAGGGAGCAGCGAGTGGGACAGGCGGCAAGATAAGTAGATTTGGAAACAGCAGCCCGGAGGGGAGCAGGTGTTTCTGATATCCCTGGCAAACTTCTGAGAAGGTCATCAATTAAATTCTGATTGGAAATAAAGAAAAAAGAAAAAAGATTATTGGCCAGAAGTGAGGCTTTCATGAAGAGATGAATCTGTATTCCCTATGCTCACACTGACTGGTGCTCAGGTAGAATGAGATGGAAAACCCCAACCTGACCAATTTTACTGAAGACAATCCACCCAGAGCATCCAGAGTCCTTTCTAAAAACACTATGGAATTTTCCAAGGAAATCGGTGCAGGTGTCTCTGCTTCTTTTGCTCCTCTTGCCTGAACAGTTCATGGTAGGCTTTTTCTTATCCAGGAGCCTCTCCATCCATCCAGGCCCAGTGAGGTCACCATGTCCTCTGAAGATATTTCCCAAGTCTTTCCAACATTTCCTCCTCTAAATTTCTGAGCACAGTCCCCATCTCTTATCTAGAATCCAATCACAGGGCTGCTTTAGGCAGCTCTTCTAGCAGCTTTCAACAGTGACCTGCCTCCAACAGTGGTCCTTGTGGAATGTAGCTCAGGTATTCCTTGGCCTAGATCCCATTCACACAGGCAACTTCAAAAATGTATATTCTAGCCAGGCATGCTACACCTGTAATCCCAGTGATTTGGGAGGCTGAGGCAGGAGGACTGCAAGTTTGAGGCTAGGCTCAGCAATTTAGTGACTGTCTCAAAATAAAAATAAATAAATAAAAAGGGCTCAGGATATGGTTCACTGGTTAAATGCCCCTGGATTCAATCCCTGGGTCCCTCCCCAAACCATGGACAAAAAAGGATATTCTAGGGCCTCCATTCTCAGAGGTCAATATGGTTATGGTTTTTTTGAGGTGCTAGGAATAAAACCACAGCTCCATGCATGCTTGGCATGCACTCTGCCACTTAAGCTACACCCTAGCCCCCAATTAGTTTGGGGTTTTTTTTGGGGGGGGAGGAGGGAGAAGGGTTTCACTGAGTTGCTTAGGGCCTTGAATTTGTGATCCTCCTGTCTCAGCCTGGAGTCACTGGGATTACAGACATTCACTACCATGCCCGGCCCCCAGTTAAGTTTTTTAAAAGCTTCCTGGTATTTCTGATCACCTGGTCTAGATAGTGAGAGGTCTTTTTTCTGTTCAGACCTGTGTGCATGCAATGAACACTGACAGTACCCTGTATTCTAGTCCTCTGTTTTTTTGACTAAGTTTTCACCGGGTATAATCGCCAATGGCCACCCCAAAAGTAAGTTCCTACCAGTCACTAGGCTTAATGTAGTGCCCTTTTCACAGTTGGTCTCAATAATTAATTTATTCAATGAATGCTCTTTAAATTTTCCCACAGTTAAAACTTTTAGATATATTCCAGGGATAAAGACTGTGTTTTGGACTGG